CCCGCCTAGGCGTCGCCTTGACAACTATGACTTGGATTGGAATGTAATCTCAAAGAAACAGTCGATGTTGTTGGAAAAGAGATTTTCTTTGGAAGAAATCAAAGAAGCCATTTTCTCAATGGATAGGTTTAAAACCCTTGGCCGGATGGATTTTCAATGGCCTTTAACCAGGAGTTTTGAGAGTTTCTGAAGTCTGAGATTTTGGAAGTGTTTGAGGAATTCTATTGTGAAGGGGAACTCCCCTTTGGAGCAAATGCCACTTTCATCTCACTAGTGCCTAAAAGGGAAGCAAAATCTCCAAAGGATTTTAGACCAATTAGCTTGATAGGGAACATTTATAATATCATCTCAAAGGTCTTATCTGAGAGGCTTAAGCAGGTGCTACCCTTAGTGATTTCACCTTTTTAAAAGGGCTTTTGTAGAAAGCAGGCAAATTGTCGACCAGATCCTAGTGGCTAATGAGTGTGTTGTCGAAAAGAGAAAGAGTAGAGAAAAGAACTTGGTGTATAAATTGAATCTTAAGAAGGCTAACGATTTAGCTTATTGAAGATTTTTTATATAAATTTTAGAAAAGTTTGGTTTTGCTGCAAGATCAAGGTCATGGGTTAAAGATTGTGTTAGTTCAGTCCAATATTCAATTCTCATGTGGCAAAAGATTTCTTCCCAACTAAGAGAGAAATAAGACAAGGGGACCCTTTATCCTCTTTCCTATTCACCCTAGTGGAGAAGTGTTAAGTAGAATAATTATGGATGCAGATTCACAGGGTCTAATTAGGGGCTGGAGAGTGGGTAAATACATGTGATATGCTGCAGAAAAGAAGGCCCTCTTCTTGCCTCTCTCCTCATATGTGCTTCTTATGTAGGGATAGTGGACAGACCTTATCTCACTTATTAACCTCCTGCTCCTTTGTACATCATATTTGGGAGTTTTCTGCTCTCTTTTTGATTGCAAGTGGGACCCCCTCAAGAGATGGCAGATAYTTTCAACCTAATGTTCTTGAGGCAACTAAAGAAGAGAAGGGTATTGTAGAGAGCTACTAAGGCAGAAATTGTGTTGTCAGTATGGGAGGAGAGGAATGACAAAAATTTTTTGGCAAAGAGTAGGTCTATGGAGGAGGTGCTAGATAGTATTAAAGTGAAGGTAACCTTCTGGGTAAAAACCATGGACAGTTTCCACAACTTCTCAGTGTCTRACAATATAAGGAATTGGAGGTAACTAGAAGCAAGCAGTTRGGAGGACTTGGGATTGGGAATATCAGGAAAAGAAACATGGCATTGTTGGGGAAATGGTTATGGAGGTTTCCAATGGAAAGGCACAAACTTTGGACGAAGATTGTGGCTAGTATACATGGGCTGGAAGACAATGACTAGGATCCAGGAATCTTGGCAAGGACTACAGTTGCTTCTCCTTGGAAAGCCATTCATGATTTGCTTCCAGTTTTCTCCCCTGGGATAAGGTATGATCTGAACTCTGGTAATCTCGTAAAATTCTGGGAGCAGCCTTGGGTTGGGGACTCATCTCTGATGGACCAATTTCCTTCCTTATATGGTTTGTCAAATCTGAAGAATGAAGCCATTTCTTCTTTTTTCGTTCCTTCTGATTCTAATTCCGATTTTGGATGGAATCTAGGGTTGAGGAGAACAATAAGGGATACGGATTTGGGCTGCCTGTCGTCTCTAATAGCCACCCTTGAAAATGTTTTCTTGGACCCGAGTAAGGATAACTCCAGAATTTGGACCCCATCCTCCAATGGTTCCTTCTCCTGTGCGTCGTTTTTTGAGACCTTGGTCCATCCTCCTGCTCCCTCTGGCCTTTCCTTCCCTGTTAATGAGATTTGGAGTAAACCCATTCCTCCTCAGGTCGGTAGTTTTTGTTGGGAAACTTTCCTGGA